ATTGCCTGAGCCCAGGGGTTCGAGAATAGCCTGAGCAAAACTTGGCGAGACCTCTTCTTTACAATAAATAAAAAAATTAGCTGGGTGTGGTAGCACACACCTGTAGTTCCGGCTACTTAGAAGGCTGAGGCAGAAGGTTCGCCTGAGCACAGGAAGTGGAGGCTGTGGTAGCCGTGAGCAGCATGCCACTGCACTCCAGCCTGGGCAACAGAGTGAGACTCCAACTCAAAAAAAAAAAAAAAAAAAAAAGAAAAGAAAAGAAAAGAAAAAAACTGGTTCTGAGTCCAGGCTTTTATTTTTCAAGGATTACTCTACAAATGGAGTGTCTTTATTTGTTCTGCTTCCCTAAAAGTGTGAGGAAATTAAGAGCTCAGAAGAGAAAGGATTTTCTTTTCTTGAAAACTCTAAAACTTTTTTTTTTTAGTGGTGGCAGAGAGAAGGAGGGTAGGTTGGTACTGTGTTAAAACTGCAGTTATATAGAGACACTTTAAGAGTAAGTCTGGTAACAGCACTTGAACTTCTAGTAAAATATCCCTGGAAGTGATCTAATTTAAAAACCAACCCCTCTGATTCTAAGATGAAAAGCAGATGCCCAAGGAAGTTAAAAGACTTTCCTGGAATCATCCAGTGAGAGGTGAAGCCAGCCCTGACTCCCAGGTCTCCTAATTATTAATCCAGAAAGTCCCTACCTCTCCTTTCTGCCTCAAGGCCTTAAAACCGAAGACAACACAGATGGAACAAACTAGATTGGAGAAACATAGCATTCTAATAATAACAAACCACCAAGACATCATTATTTAGTGTTCTTCCTTCTAGAAAGAGATGTGCCCCTAGATTGGATATATTCTTCTACAGATGATGCTATCTGGCAATGACATGTCTACCCCAGACTTTGCCCGTCCATGTTCACATCTTTATTGATCACTTAGAAGGCACACATTTCCTTAAAGGCATTCATCCTGCAGCAAAGAAGGTAAAAGGAAAATTGTCCTTTCCTATACACATTCAGAAACTATATGCATAGGCTGGGTGTGGTGGCTCACACTGTGATCCCAGCACTTTGGGAGGCTGAGGTGGGAGGATTGTTTGAGCCCAGGACTTTGAGACCAGCCTGGGCAACATAGTGAGACCTCGTCTCTACAAAAACACCCCCATAAAATTAACCAGGCACAGTGGTACTCGGGAGGCTGAGGTGGAAGGATCATCTGAGCCCCGAAGGTTGAGGCTGTGGTGAGTTGTGATTCTGCCACTGCACTCCAGCCTGGGTGACAGAGTGAGCCCCTGACTCAAAAAAAAAGAAAAGAAAAAAAAGAAAAAGAAAGAAACTACATACATAAAACCACCAAGTAGAAGTGAAACAGCCAAGTCAAAACTCTCATCTAGGATTTGGCAGCATTGCCAAACCTCATGGTTTACATCAACATCAACATCAACATCATGGTTGACAATAGCACTACATTATCTGCGAGAGAAGGAACTAGACACACTAAGCAGATCATTCTTCTCTTGGAGGTGGAAAACAGGCATCATCCAGTGTTGCTAACAGATTATGGGAGTGCTGCTTCCTCCTGTTTCCCCAATCTGCCTCTGAAATTGGTTAAAAGAAAAGGAATAGCAGAAATTACTGGTAAAGGTCCTAAGTAATCTGGACCGGATAACTGGCGTAAAAAACTCCGAAGTGCACAGTGGCTCACACCTGTAACTCCAGTACTTTGGGAGGCCAAGACAGGAGGATCGCTTAAGCTCAGGAGTTTGAGACCAGCCTGGGCAACATAGCGAGACCTCGTCTCTCCAAAAAATGCAAAAAAAAAAAAAATTAGCTGGGTATGGTGGCATGAGCCTGCAGTCCCAAAGTATCAGGGGGCTGAGGTGGAAGGATCGCTGGAACCCATGAGGTTGAGGTCTTGACTAATATACCCCTACTTATCCTTCAAAACCCAGTTTAGTTGTCACCTCTGCTACTTGGTCTTTCCTAAGGATCCCATATTGAAGTATAGCTATTTGCTTGTATTTTTCCTATAGCTGTTCATCTTTGTAACTTCTTTAATGATCCCTTTCATTCTGTATTGTAATTATTAGACCTTCAGACTGAGGTCAGGGTCAATGTCTTATACATCACTGAATTCCTAACCTCATGCCTCAGACACGATGGATACTCAATATACATGTGTTCAATTGAATTTTATTCTCAATACTCTTTTAGTGAATGTTGCACCCTTAGTGTTTCCCATTATATTTAGAATAAAGCCCAAAGTCTTTGCCACAGGCAGCAGCAGGGCCCTACGGGAGATGCCAGCCTCTTTTACCTCTGTTCCTACCAGTGGCTCCATGCTTTTCCTTGAATCTACCAAAACCTGTTTCCACCTCAGAGTCTTTGCAGCTGCTGTTCCTTCTTCCAGGAAAGCTCTTCTCTCTCAGATGCTGCAGAAATCACGCCACTACATTATCAGGGTTCTGCTAAAGTATCTCTTTGCCAGAGAGCCTTACCAGAACAATCTTATCCAAAACAGCACCTCCATCACTCTCCAATTCTTGCCCCATTGTACATTTTCCATGATACTTCTCACTGTCTGATGTTATAGCACCTGGTACATCATTACTTTATTTATCACTATCTAGCTCTCTCTAATGTATCAGGGCAGGATTTTTTGTTTGTTTTATTCACCATTATAGCCCAGCACCTAGGACTATACCTATGTTCTCAAAATACTGACTGGAATACATTTTCAAAATAATCTTAAATTGAAAAGGATGAAAAAAGCAAACTCTAAAACTGAAACCAACACAAACCAACACATCTATCCATTTATTAAATTGTAATATAGTTATCCTGACAAAAATAGAATTCTTATAAATTTAGATATAGAACTTTGATTATAAGCCTATATTAAGATACAGTTTAAGGATAAAAATAATTGTAGTAAAAAAATGAAAGTAATTTTGATGTTTCTTGCTGGTAAATGGTACTGATGTCATAATCTGAAACCATCTGAGGCATATCGTGGGATCGCAAAAGAGTAAGCACACTGATGCTGTTGGGAAACACGGTGCTCAACATGGTATAGGATGCAGACAGAGATGGAATGGGAAAAGGAAAAGAGAACCTTGAGGTGAGGAATTAGAATTACAGCTATGTAGAAATCGATTATAGCATGGAATAAAAATAATAAAAAATAAAATAAAATAGAATTGCAGGTATCAGTATGAAGTCATTTTTTCCCTAGCTCTGCCCACAAAGTTTAAGAGAAATGACATCCCAGCAGCAATAAGCACACTCAGTGCTCAGGACTTGGTTTTAAAATACCATTCCCAGCCAGGCATGGTGGCTTTTGTCCATAATCCTTGCATTTTGGAAGGCTGAGAAGGGAAGATCACTAGAGCTCTGGAGTATGAGACCACAGTATGCAGCATAGCAAGGTCTCAACTCTACAAAAAAATAAAAATATTAGCTGGGTGTGGTAGCATGTGCCTGTAGTCCCAGCTGCTTGGGAGACTGAGGCAGGAGGATAGCCTGAGCCCAGGAAGTCGAGCTACAGTGAGCCGTGATCATGCCACTGTATTCTAATAATCTAACCTGGGCAACAGAGTGAGACCCTGCCTCATAAATAAATTAATAGGTAAGTAAATAAGTAAATAAATAACTATCCTCCCCCGTTAAAGAAATGGCATTTGTTGAAGAAATGACTGACTCCAAGACTAGGACAGGGAAAGTACAAGCTGCTTCTGGCACATATATTTGTGCCAAAAATCAAGGAGAAGGTCAAAGACTAATGGGGACCTGTCAAAAAGGCACAGGAACCAGCTGAAGGGGGTTCCCATATTTGGAACAATGTAAGCATTAAAAATGACAAAAATAGCAATACATTTTAATAGATCAAATAGAAATAACAATCTGTGAGTCTAGAGTATTTTTTTTTTTTTTTTTTTTTTGAGTTGGAGTCTTACTTCTTCACCCAGACTGGAGTGCAGTGGCCGCTCCCGGCCACCGCAGCCTCCACCTGCTGGGTTCCGGCGATCCTTCCACCTCAGCCTTCCAAGTAGCCAGAATTACAGGCATGCGCTACCATGCCTGGCTGATTTTGATTTATTGTAGAGATGAGGTCTCGCTGCCCAGGCGAGTCTCGAACCCGCAGGCTCAGGCAATCCACTCACCTCAGCCTCCCAAAGGCGCGGGATTACAGGCTGAGCCACCGAGCCCGGCTTTAGAGTAATATTTTTTAAAGTAGATAATAAACAGGAGGAGGGAAAAAACTTTCCTACAGAAGAATGCCAGATGATATCTATAGAAATACAGATTAGAAAAATCACCATTTTATAATTCCCAGTGTAAAAACTGATTCAGACAGGGATCATCAGTGGTTGCTAAAACTATTGAGTGGCAGATTTGGAGGGAAGAGTGTAAAATGCTGTTGAATGAATTACAACAGAAATAGGTGTTTTCCAGTGGTGAGATCTGACAAACATCACCTTGACAAAGTGATCAAGCTTAGCATTGCCAATAATGAGACAAACACATCATGTGCCTCTGATGAGATGCAACAGTAAAGTACACAACAGCATGAATGTAGTGTTCTTGCCAAAATGTTTTATCACAATCGAAGCATTGAGGAAAGAATCAGATAAATTCAGAATATGGGACATTCCGCAGGTACCTGGCCTGGAATCTTCAAAATTATCATCATGAATGACAAAACAAATAAAGCAGGGGTGGAGACATGACAACCCATTGCACCCTTGGTAATAGATGAACATTACTGAGTGCTGGATTTAAATATATATCATAATATGTGTGTATGTGTGTGTGTGTGTGTGTGTGTACATATATATACAGAGAGAGAGAGAGAGAAGATATTTGGAGAATTTTGAATATAGACTGAATAAAATTGATATATATGTGGACATATATACATGAACATACATTTTAAATAAACTACACTGTCATCATATACTCGAGCCCCAATAATGTTTGAAGTACACAAGAAAACAGGACTTTAACTTACCTCCCCAGTGGCATAAAAGTCGTTATCCTTATACTCAGGAAACAATTGGAAAAACTGAACTAGTGCACTGCAAAAAGGAAGAACAATAGCAATAAAAATTAATCAGAAAAATGCATCAGAACAGCTTCGTGTTATGCTCGCAAATCTAACCCGCCGGCAATAGGTATCACATTTGAAATAAGATATCATTTTCTGTGAGCTCCTGTTGGGTCTTTTTTTCAAAGTCTCATGTGCATACTACTTTATTCTTTGTGGGTATTTAGAAAATAGATGTGGGCTTACTTTGTGAAACTAAGCAATTTGGACAAATGGACACTCATCAAGTTGTCTAGGGCATCTTGAACAAATGATACGGTGTTTCACCCATTATGTAGCAATTCATGGAGGCAGTTCTGCACACCTGATGACCCCAATGACCCAGGTCTGTGGTGAAGTCATGGGACCTGCTTTGCTCACCACTGTGAGGGACCCTGACCATTTCTAATGGAGCTCCCAAATTGTCAGTATTTTAATTACCAAAATCAGAGAAACTATAAAATGACTATAATCTAAAGGAAAACCAACAAATGGCTACAAGTATTAAAGTACATGTACAGTGGCCTCTGGGCTCCAAAAAAAAAATCACATTGGTTAAAGAATGCCAATAGCCACTTCAGTGAGTTACACTGAAATAGATTTAAGCAGACTCAAGGAATTATTTCATAATAAGCAATAAAAGGATGAACTTTTTAATGATTCTTATTTGATCAAAATCTTTCAAAAAAAAAAAAAAGGAAACAAGAACTTGTGAAATTCAGAAGCTCAGTGCATGTTTTGACTGCGATGACAAAGCCTAAGAAGTTAGGGAAAGTTTTTGTCCTGGCTTCCTGCTGAGGGACTAAAAGCCATGAGCCATCCAGGGAAGATGAAAGGCAAGGAAGTTCTGAAAATTCAGAAGGAGGAGAAAGTGCAGGGGTTACTGAGAGGCAAAAGTGGGTCATTACAATCACCACTACCCTGGCTCTACTTAATTTTCAAAGGTTCCATAAAAATTGATCATGAAAAACTATTGCTGGGTTTCAGTGTATTTCTGTATTCATTATTTATAGTGGTCTTTGTAGCAAGTAAATCTGAGAAGCTGTATTTTATAGCTTCCATGTTTGTGCTGGCAATAAGTTGGCTTTAGAACACAGATAAAAATAGGCGTTCATTCCCCTCCCTTCCCTGTCCAAATTTCAGGCTAAAAGCTACTTCCCTTTTTCTCTTCCTGCTTGTTGGAATTGCAATAGAATATTTAATATAGTAAATCTCAATTAAGCATTACGCTTTAGCTTCAAGCTTACATCCTTGTAGTAATTGTGGGAGAGTCATTAGCGCTGCCAGATTTAGAAAATTAAAATACAAGGCATCCAATTAAAGCTGAATTTCAGATAAATAAAAATATAATGTTTTGGTATAAGTATATTTTAAATATCGCAGGGAACATACTTACATTGACATTTTATCTGTTGTTTATATGAAATTCAAATTTAACTGGGCATTCTGTATTTTATCTGGCAATCTTAGTGGGAGATAATCTCCCAGATTATTTCTTTCTCAAAAATGGCAGGATTCCCTAGCTCAAGTTTCCAAGGCAAGGCCCCACTTGAGGAAGTTATCATAGAAGAAAAACAATTGGTTGGTTTTTTTGTTGCTGTTTAGCGAGTGCTTTGTCTTTCTTAAGCAGGAGTGAAATGATAAAGTTCAGTGAGGAAGGAGTAAAAAAAAGGTAAATTTAGTAAGTTAGATTTACGTATGACATTTGCTCATTTTAGTTAAGGACGGTTCTTAATACATAGTGAGGGTCTGCTTGAGCATAGAATCTAGAATCATGCCAACATGACATTTCAAGTTTTAGAAGCAAAATTGCCAAAATATAGAATATATAGTCCGCGTGTGTGTGTGTTCACACTCTGCATTTATTTCAGTACAAGAACTACAGGCAGAGGAAGCATGTTTCTTCCAGGTAATAACACTTGGCAACCTTGCTGGCATTGTGCCAAGGACTTGTCTAATAAATAGAATGTAGTTCAAGGCTATCTGCCGACAGGCAGAAAGACACAGTAAAGGACAGCAAGGAGAAGCAGAGATTGCAAGGAAGAATGACCAGGAGAAAATTATTCCTCAGGTAATTTTTTTGAAGAGAAGTTGGTGGGTGTGGGGCTGAGAGGTGAGTGGACATGATCATGCCCTGTAGACCCAAAGACAGTGCTGGAATTTGCTGTCAGTTCTAAGGGAGTCAGAAGCATAATAAACATATTCAGGAAAATCAAGGTTCAAATAATCTAAGCAAAAGTTCCACACCAACAAAAGCCAAGCAAGGTGTAGCTATGGTCACTGACAGTGGACTGAAACAGTCCAGTAACAAGAATCTTGGTGGCGTGTTCTGGGGGAGTATGAGGAGACTCTTCTGTGTTCATTCTACATCCTGGATGGCTGAGCCAGGATCCTCTCAGCCCATCACGGGCTCATATGGTGCTCTCATTTAACAGAGGAAGGCTTAGCCAGGCACAGGGGCTCACGTCTGTAATTCCAGCACTTTGGGAGGCCCAGGTGAATGGATTGCTTGATCCCAGGAGTTTGAGACCAGCCTGGACAACATCGTGAGACCTCATCGCTACAAAAAAGTGAGAAAAATTAGCTGGGCGTGCTGGTGCACACCTATAGTCCCAGTTACTCCAGAGACCGAGGCGGAAGATTCATCTGAGCCCAGGAGTTGGAGGCTGCAGTGAGCTGTGATCGTACCACTGCCACTCCAAACTAGGTGACAGAATGAGACGCCAGCTAAAAAAAAAAAAAAAAAAAAAAAAAATAGTGCTGCATAGCTGCACTGTTACAAACCTCTGTTTAGCAAGACCACATAGCATTTCTCACTGCAGACCAACCAGTGAGCTAGAGCAATAGTAGCATTTTCATTTGACTGCTAAAAATTACGAGCCCGGCTAGTAAATTTCTTTTAAAACAGAGAGGCAGCCGGGCTCGTGGCTCAGCCTGTAATCCCGCGCCTCTGGGAGGCTGAGGTGAGTGGAATGCCTGAGACCGCGGGTTCGAGACCCGCCTGGCCAAGTTGGCGAGACCGTATCTCTACAGTAAATCAAAAAAATTAGCCGGGCGTGGTAGCACGCGCCTGTAGTTCCAGCTACTCGGAAGGCTGAGGCGGAAGGATCGCCGGAGCCCAGCAGGTCGAGGCTGCGGTGGCCGGGAGCGGCCACTGCACTCCAGTCTGGGCGACAGGGTGACACTCCAACTCAAAAAAATAAAAAATAAAACAGAGAGGCACTGTGGTTCACACATTCCCAATAGCGCGGGAAGGGGGGGGGGGAATAAACAAAAAACCAGAGTATTTAAACATCTTATTAGCGAAAATGTTTTATTTCCAAACACAAAGAAAAGCAGCATAAATGTGAATGTCAAATGCCTCTTATGAGGCTACTCCTTCCAACCGGACACTAGGAATGGTCAAAAGGAGTGGAGTTTGCAGAAACAAGAAAGATGGCTTTTAACCGGAGAGAAAGCAAGGTCCACTCTTTAAACTTGTGGTAGCCCATTTCCAGGTTTCAAAGAGACCTTCTCATTCCAGACACCCATCTGGAGTGCCAGAGAGAAGAATGCGGTCACAAAGGGAAGCGAATAGTGTAAACTATAAAGGAAACAGCTGAAACCAGTTTTCGGCACTAGCCTTGATTAGCTATTTTCCAGTTCTAAGAGCCTGAAGCAAGAAAGAACTAAAACGGCTGTAAACAATGGATGCTTTGAAATAGGTTCCCTTTACGCGCCAAGCAAGAGGAGATGAACCACATGGCAGCAGCAGATATCTCCTCGGAGGGTCCGCTGGAAGCCTTAACCCTCCCTGGGGGAGGGGAAGGAGACAGAAAAGACACCGAGGGGCACGGCATGCCGGCTCTTCCAGGGCGCCAGCGCCGACACATCTCTTCCACACAGAACCTCCGCCCTCGGGGTGTTTGCTAGTTAAACAACTCCGCTTGTTGGGATTGAAGCCCAAAGAGGGATGGGGATTGGGGGCGGGAAGTAGGTTTCCACTCTGAAGCAGAGCACACAGTGCCAAG